AGCTCTTCTATTAAGTGCTAGACTCTTTGAAAATAGTTTATGAATTGTGCCATACCTCTTGAAGTTGTTTAAATTGGTTTTCAGCAAATTCTTTCAATGTATACGTATATCCTCTCTATGCGACACAGGCCCATGTCACTAAGTCGATAACACATTTCTTGGATATTGAGGAGAGCAGGCCGCAGAAACTGGAAGGAAACAACAAAATATATATTTAAATTTATATTTCATTGTAAAGAAGTGAAGCATAAGTAAGAAGAAACAATTTAGTATATAGACAGTAATAAGAAGCTAAAATCCCACCATTCATTAACTAAACTCAAAACTAGAAAGGTAATATATTGCAGCTTACTAGTCTGTATGTCTGGTGGCTGTATTCATTTTCTGCTAATAATGTTTGCCTTGTATGTTTCCTAAATAAATGAATAGGATTCGCCATTCTACATTCAACTAATATGCTATCTATGGCCTTTTCAAAAACGAGTTAATATTGCTATCTTCTTTTTTTTTCAAGTTTATGTTTAGAAAATATTAATAAATGAGGTAAAGCACTGTAACAAAATGTTCCACAGCAAAACAGTCAGGAGATGCTTAGCAGTTGTTAGAGCTTAGATTTGACAATCTGTTGAAAAAATTTGCAATTTACACTGATATTGTATAAAAAGTGAGACAATTACACACATTTGTGCATTTATGTCACTTAAAATAATTATACAAATAATTTTATGATTTTAACCAATGTATAGCTAATGAAAAATGAAAACAAGTTCACAATTATTTTTATTATAGTATATATAGTGTGTGTGTGTGTATAAAAAGAGAGTGCACACACTGTAAAACACCATACATACTGAATTTATCATAACTATATGTGAGTAGATTAGATAATTAAAGTGTTACTAAACCCAGGACCCTGCATTCACTATATCCGGTCTCCCACAGTACACAGAACATGGAAATGCAATTATTTTAGTAAATATAAACTGCTAAATACCTTTTCTCATCAGCAGTATAAAGAAGTTTTCTGACTTCTATCAGTGTCCAGCAGAGGACCGGTTAAAGCTTGTAGGAGGATTTTTCATTCTCCCCTGATTGTCCTATGAGGCTGCATAACCCCTGATCCTTTGTCTGGACAGTGCTGATTGGTCCTGTGCTGATCACATGCATTCTCCCAAGAAAAAAAACTCTCTAGCAATACACACCAAACTGAACATGTGCAGCTTGCCCCCAAGGTTCTGTTCTATCAGCAGATGGATGGTGGACAGGATCAAACATCCTTTTTACGCAATGCAGAGGATCACCCCTTAGTTTCCACCGTGAGTATAGCAAGCATGTTTGACTTCATATACAGACTGATTTTACTGTTGTGTGCTTAGTAACAGTTTAAGGAAACAGCTAATAACACCACTGAAATACATGTATGAAAGCTGCTTTACCTATCCAAGAATTTGTACTTCACTCTATTAAGTCCTGAGAGTTGCAAAGCTCAACCAGAAAACATACCCAGCCCTGTGACCTGATTTTTCTCTACTGTTGTTACGCAACACAGCTATCTCTCCCGCCTGCCACCAGCCTTTGTCTTTACAGTGAAGGAGCAGCAACTGACTAATGAGGTTATCCCTCTGCTCTATCCTCTTAACAGTATGTCTCTTGTTGGCCATGTGCATGTAGCACATCTGATTGGTCTCTAGTGGTGCCCTTCCCTTTTATAGTCTGGGTGCTGCTGTATAGGGGATTACAAGAGCCTAAAATCAAGTCAAATTCAGATTTTTATACTATTTGGATTCAAAATAAAAATCACAATTTTTTAATAGATACATAACTACATTCAGTGGGGTTTCTGCTTGAAGTTTAGCTAATTTGAGATACCTACTGAATTAACAATAAACAGATTTTCCTGCAGGGCCCTGCGACATTGACTAATTTTCTTGGCACGAACATTTTTTCTCCATACAGTAAATGCTTTCCACTTGCGGAAAAGGGCAAAGGTAGGGATTTGCTTCAGAGCTTTGTGGTAAAGATATTCTTGTTTCCATCGATCCAGTTCAAGGAATAGAACCTCTCCATTACAGATATGAGTGATTCCACGATCACTTATGGTGTAATAGTCATTTTGTTGATGTTGTCATGGTTTACAAGTCTGCATAAAAGATAAAAGGATTACAGTGAAAGAAAGAAACCGACAATGATGACCCATCACTTTTGGCTTGAACTTGTATTAAATTGTTAGTAAAAAAAAAAAAACTTTTAATGCTTTGCATAGATCAAAGACTTGGTAGCTACAAACAGTGAATGGAAAAGTAAGAAACATGTTCATTAAGACAGTTAGCATTGCTATTGTAGTATTTATCATAAAGCCCAACTGCAGGACACTAGCAACACCCCCTCTGACTAACCACTTGTATGAAAAAAATAAATTCTCCAAATGCCCATTTTACTTAGCTGAAGCCAGAGTCACACAACAATTCTTCTCCCTTCTTCTGTTTATTCCCTGGGCGTCCTTCTTCAGGTGTCAACATCACTGCCTGTGTGATGTAGACACTGCTTATTGATGAAGGTGTCACGTACAGCAACCAGGTCTTCTCTTATTGGCTTCAGAGGCAGGAGAACTCACGGAGACATGGAGGGGAACCTTGTCCAAGAAGTTAGGGAGAAGGTAAAATGTTTGGAACCCAGGGCAGGAAATTAGCTCAACTTATGGAGAAAACTGTGATCCTTTATATTGCAGGTTTAGGAAGAGGTCTTTGGAATCAAGACTGAGGAGTAAGGTTGTGGATAGGTGCAGCATGGTGTGGCATAGTAATTACACAGAGTTCCGTTGTACATAACAAAAACTTGTATTGAAGGAATGGCCCAACTTAACAAACAGCCCAGATGGAGAGTACCATGCCAGGAAACACTCAAAGTTCTGTGCAGCTTGGGAATACAGCAGGCTCAGCTGCACCGACAGCATCTATCTCAGAGGGCGGAATGCAGCCTGGTTGGTATGTTCCCAATGGGGAGGCTTATGAAAAGGATGGTGTGTCATTAGCCCGTCCCTACTCATTCTGAACCTCTCAATGCCGTTAATCACTTTCCATGACAGACGGGTGCTCTTTCCCTATACTCTCAACTTCACAAATGTGTGCCAAAACTTGGGAACAGTGCCCTAAAATGGCTCTGTTGACCCAAGATAGCCACCAGGGGTCACCTGGATGCAGCATAGCCAAATGGAACAATGCCCCAGGGGCCAAGGAAGCTATAGAGGAATCAGGTTTCTCCTGACTTCCTCTCCAGCTGCAGTACCGATCCGGTTGAATGCCACTTCAGTGGAGGAAGCAGACTGCACCTGCCTACAGATTGTTGCACAATGCACTATTTACATTTAATTTTTATCTGAAGTTGAGATTTAAAGTAATTTTTGATCTGACGGTCATACTTTTACATGTTTGCTATTCCATGTATTTGGTATTATATATGCATTTACAGTACTAGCAGTATAAATGTCTCTGTTAACTGAAATTTTTCAAAACTTTTGTCTGAAATCAGGACACTTACTGTAAAACCATTTTTAGCATTCAATCTTTTAATCAATTCCCAAGTGGTAACTACAGCAGTGAGAATGAATGAATACTTTTGTGCTGCTGAAATGTCTTTACTGACATCATAGCTAATTCCTGGCACCCTTTTATTGTATTTTTATTAACACTTAAGAAGAAATACAGAGACAAGAACTGAACATACCCAGATATAATGCAAAAACTGATAATCTTCAAAATACAATTTACAGTAAAACACACTGACGTACACAGATGACTACTCATTTGTTCCACAATATAAAGCAAAACATTCCTTGGATCTAGTGTATAAGCTATCTGCTGTGAGTTATTAATATCAGAGATGAAAAACACCTTGAAACTGCAATCAAAAATAAAACAAATGGTACAAAGTGAAAGGGAGAGAAGAGAGGCAAAGAAAGATCAGAAGTAGCAGAAAGAAAGCTAATGACAGAATAAAGGTATATGGAAATTCATGTTAAAAGAAGAATACTGTTAAGAAGCTTGGATGATGAATTTTAATGATTTATGAAACACAGGGTTTGATTTACTAAAGGCAAACAGTCTGTTTACTTTTCAAGGAAATTTGCACTTTGCAAGGGCATTTGCTCTGGGAGAAATGCCCTTGCAAAGTGCAACTTCCCATGCAAAGTGAACCGCTTATTTGCCTTTAGTAAATCAATCCCACTGTTTGCAAAAGCTACAGCCTGATTTTTTTTATACTTCTGGGTAGCATGGGGAAACGTTATATTGTCTACCTGGTTTTAATTACTGTCTGTCTCTGTATTGTGGATTTCTGCTATCAAATCTTTTACATGTAACAACCATCATGGGAAAAAAAAAAAGTGAAAGAAAATCAACCAAGTGGTGGTAGAGATAGCAATAAAGCTTCTAAATATGTCCCATACCATTCTAAAAATTATATATTGCTGAGGATTTTTTAAACTAAATGGCAAAGGTACCATGGGGAGGAGGTGGTCTGTGAAAGAATAGGGAAACTGTTTTATGTCAATTTTTTTTTTTTAAATGTATATTTTAAACTTATGTTTTATTTTTTTAAATATGTATTTATTAAAAACCATGCACTGGTGTAAATTGTAGCTTGAGCTGTTTAAATAACAGTGTTTTACTTCCAATAAGAAAAGAGAGAGAGTGTGAAAATGGAAACAGAAACCTAAGGAGCAGCACTGATTTCTAAAGTAGTGCATGCACAACTTTTGTTGCAATTTGCATAGACATCTGTGTCAGATGTCTTGCAAATCGCAACTGAAATCGGCAGGTCACTTGATTTTTAAATTGTGCGACTTCACTGTAAGGTCCCCATGCTGCATGTGTCCCTTCTTTCAAGGGGCAGTGCTGCCCCCCCCCAAAAAATGCCACCCTAGGCAAATGCCTTGTGGTAAATACACCCCTGGGCCTTACAAAAGTGGTATAAGTGCATCCCTAATATATATATACAGGCTTTGAAATTTCCACTCGCCTGCTCGCCAATGGCGAGTGGAAATTATGGTGGGGGCGAGTGTGTCCCCCAGGGCCGTCTTGCTGAGCAGGCTCCGAGCTCAGGCTGGATCTGTTATTGGCACTGGGGGCCATCAGACTGCTCAATAACTGAACACAGTGAAAGCAAAGGAAAGAGTGTGTGCTGTGCTCTCTGCCTCCCCCTACAGTGCAGTACCCGGCTCTGTGAGTGAACAAGGAAGTGCTGCAACTTTTTATAGGTGTGTACACATGTGTGTGTGTCTGCGTATGCATGTACATGTGTCTGTGTGTATGTACATGTGTGTATATGTACATGTGTCTGCATGGATGTACATGTATGTGTGTGTACATGTGTCTGTGTGTGTGTGTGTGTGTGTGTATATATGTGTGTGTGTCTGCGTATGCATGTACATGTGTCTGTGTGTATGTACATGTGTGTATCTGTACATGTGTCTGCGTGTCTGTACATGTATGTGTGTGTACATGTGTCTGTGTATGTATGTACAAGTGTCTGTTTATGTATGTACATGTGTCTGTGTGTATGTACATGTGTCTGTGCGTGTGTATTTCTGTGTATGTACATGTATCTGTATGTATGCATGTCTGTACGTGCCTGAGTGTGTATACATGTGTCTGTATGTGTGTGTGTGTACATGTGTCTCTGTGCGTGTGTGTACATGTTTCTGTGTGTGTATGTATGTACATGTCTGTGTGTATGTACAGGTGTCTCTGTTTGTGTGTGTTTGTTGGAAAATGTGTTATGGCCTGCTGAAACCAAGATTGAACTATTTGGCCATAATTCCAAAAGATATGTTTGGTGCAAAAACAACACTGCCCATCACCAATAGAACAACATACCCCACCGTGAAGCATGGTGATGGCAGCATCATGCTTTGGGGTTGTTTTTCTTCAGCTGGAACTGGGGCCTTAGTCAAGGTAGAGGGAATTATGAACAGTTCCAAATACCAGTCAATATTGGTACAAAACCTTCATGCTTCTGCTAGAATGCTGATCATGATGAGGAGATTCATCTTTCAGCATGACAACGACCCAAAGCATACATCCAAATCAATAAAGGAATGGCTTCAGCAGAAGAAGATTAAAGTTTTGGAATGACCCAGCCAGAGCCCAAACCTGAATCCAATTGAAAATCTGTGGAGTGATCTGAAGAGGGCTGTGCACAGGAGATGCCTTCGCAAACTGACAGATTTGGAGTGTTTTTACAAGGAAGAGTGGGCAAATATTGCCAAGTCAAGATGTGCCATGCTGATAGACTCATACCCAAAAAGAGTGCTGGAATAGAATTAAAAAGTGCTTCAACAAAGTATTAGTTAAAGGGTGTGCACACTTATGCAACCATATTATTTTATTTTTTTATTTTTACTTCACCTAAAAGATTTCAGTTTGTTGTTCAACTGAGTTGTACAGTCTATAGGTTACATTAAAAGTGGAAAAAGTTTTGAAATGATTTATCTTTGTCTAATTTTTTTACATCACAGAAACTTGACATTTTAACAGAGGTGTGTAGACTTTTTATATCCACTGTATGTCCATAGGTTCATATACATCCAAATCTCCACAAATCACATTTGTGAACGAATAACTGATCGAAGCTAAACGTACATATCTACTGACTCCCATCTTCAGTTATATTTCAAGGCACTCAAGAGATTCACATTGCAATTCATACCTTAGATTATATGGATCATATTCGATTGAAGATTTAGGCACTGCAGGAGTCATGTAAAGGAAGCCCAAGTTTTTATTTTTCAATAGTATATTGATGATCTGCAGAGGATCTTTAATATTAGCCCTGATGACATCTTCTGCAGTATTACACACTGAAGATGGTGGAGAAGGAAGTCGTTTATATGACCCAGGTCTTGAAGCAGATGTCCTTGACTGTTTTGGAGGTGTAGGAGATACTGTTCTGCTAAAGTCAAGTTGTAACTAAAGAGTTATAAAAGGAAACAAATATGTATTAGAACACAATGATGGAAATCCATGCACAAAAAGATATGTACATAGTAACACGTGAAAGCAATCAGCAAGCTGCAAATGCAATAAGTAAACATTAGTTAGTCAAGTAAGTGTGGCAACTATCAGGGGCAGACTGACAACTCATGGGGTCCCCGGGCGATAGGGGATCATGGGGCCCCTGTGTCCTTGCCCAAACTCAAAAAAGCCTATGGAAAAGGTACCAGAGGCATCTCATGGGGCCCCCTACTGACCCCAGCCCCCGAGTTTTCAAATGATCAGTCCACCCCTGACATCTATTGTGAAATGATAGATGCTTGGCTTTCTTCCAATTCAGTATTTCCTGAGTACTTCGTGAATGTAGAACAGATATGCAGATCAGAACTTCTGACTGCTCTTTGACCTTGACTTCTACAAATTTGTTCCAGGTCAATATTAGAATTAGAGATAGTCAGGCAAGCAGCATTTTCAAAAGGAGGTCAGCAATGGCAGCAAACATATTACATTCAGCGAAAACACAGCAAACTCTGTACTCCTGCGCTTTGGGATGAACTCGGATAGGGTTATGGTAACATCACAGATATCCTAGAAAAGGCACTCCTTGCTGCCCTCAAGGACTGGGGTAGTCCAATGACACTGGATACAAAGGAAAACAAACAGAGGGCGCACCGGCCTAGTGCATTATTGTAAAAAATTTTATTGGAAGGATAAAAAGTAAGTATTGTACTCACAATAGGCAAACAGGTCAAAGGCAAATCACACTAAACAGCGGTGTCCAATCCACATTGCATATAAGTAAAAAAAAATGGAACCCTGGACTTCCAACAGGCTAACGCATTTCGAGGTCTCAACCTCTTCCTCAGTGCCAAACGTATACCATATTACATTCAGCACAGGTTTCTACTGCATTCTCTGTAATCCACTTCATTTGGATTTTCACCTATGGCCTCATGCACACAGGGCGTTTCTACAGCTGCTGCTAGGGGCGTCATGCGTTTATTTATCCTGGTTCCAAACTCCCCTCCATGTAAGCCTATGTTTCATTGCACACATAGACTTTTAGCAACCTTTTGTCAGTGCATCCGAGAGCAGCAGCGTTTTGGCAGAAACATTGATTGATGCTTGTAAAAATGCGTCTAAACGCATGTTAACACTAGGCGCGTTTAATGCTTGAGTATAAATTCATTTCAATGGCCAGAATAAATTATTATTCTAGCCAATGAGATGATTTAACGCCAAAGCACTTAACGCCTGTAAAAACGCCTAAACGCTTGTAAAAGCGCTAGACACTTTTATAAGCATCGGGTGTCTCTTTCTGCAAAAACGCTGCTGCCAAGAGGAAAAGCTTCTTGGAGAGTTTTTTAAACATTCTGTGTGCATTAGGCCTAACTTCAAACAAGGTCAATAGAAAATTGATTTCCCCAGAGCCTGTGCTCTGTAGTTTCCTCATGCTTCCACACCAGTTGCATTTAGTTTCTTAAACATGTTTGAATCTGATGTGCGAATGTTCAAAATGTTACTGTTGCTGTATTTTTCAGTTTATAAGAGAGAGCGCAAGTGGAGTTTCCAGCCTCTCATATATGTTCCAAAAACGCCAAATTACTGACAAAAGAGAATGAAACTGGTAAGCTAAAAATAAACTACTTAGTGGATAGGCTATGCATTTCATGACTTCATTGTGACTTTTGATGAGCGTGTATCTTTAAAATGTTGCCCCAAATGTAAACCTCTAGTAACCCTAGGTTCACACCTAAACGTTTTCCGCAGCGTTTTGCAGAACTGCACTACAGTCCATGTAACATGATTTCGTAAGGGACACGTTCCCATCTCTGCGTTTTCACCTGGTGCATTTTTGGAAAGGGTCAGGGACTTTTTTGATTCTTTAGATTTCAATGGAAACGCCTCAGAAAACATTTAGTGCATTTTTGCCACGTTTTGAATGAGTTTTTTTATGCGTTTTGAGGTTTAAATCTGCCTAGCAACAAGAGAAAAAATGCACAATACATCAAAAACATGGCAAAAACGCAAAACGTACTGCAGAATGGGATCAAATGCAAACTCCAGGGCTCTGAGGAATAGGCTAGTCCTTGAAACGCATCAGCCTGTTGGATGTCCAGAGTTCCCATTACGGACAGATACGTAATGCGAATTAGACAGAGCTGCTCCTTGATGATGTGCCTTTGACTGTATTGACAATTTTTGAGTACAATACCTACTTTTAACATTTAATAAACATATTTTTAAGGTAATGCACTAGGCCGGTGTTTTTCTCTATTCAGTATATTTGGACTCCGCCGGTCTTTTGAGGGCAGAAAGGCGTGCATATCCCAAGAATTTCGTTATGTGGTCCTAACGACATTGAGTTCATCCCTAAGCGCAGGAGTATCTGGGTTTTCCATTTCTACACTGCAAACTCCATAGGTGTGAACCAGGGGTGGACTGACAACTCATGGGGCCCCCGGGAAATAGGGGATCATGGGGCCCCTGTGTCCTTGCCCAAGCTCAAAAAAGCCTATGAAAAAGGTAGCATCTCATGGGGCCTCCTACTGATCCCGAGCCCTCGGGCAGTGCCCGAGTTTCCAAATGGTCAGTTCGCCCCTGGTGTGAACCTAGCTTAAGGCATGATTTAAAAAGAAGGACATTTTCATATTACAAGGACTGTATTTCCACTCCATGACCTAGCAAGCCTCAAAACAACGCATATTTATGTGAATAGGTTCCTTCATGGTTCCATTTCTGATGCAATCTTCATAGAAATAACTCCCTTCTACAAGACCAATTTAGATATCATGCTGCCCTAGATTCACTTGAACTATAATCCCCTTTTGTACAAGCCAGGCCCCTTGTCTCCCATGATTATTTTAGTAAAAGCTACTATTGCAATGTGCTAATAGAGGCAGAATGCATTCTCATTTTTATTTACATCACTTTAACTGTTTTTGGAGTATAATAAGTCTTTAGACTCCTCTCAAATCACCATGTCAGAAACTGCAGTGGATAATTTTTCTTTCACTGCATTTTTTTTTATTTTAACGTATTTATTGAGTTGTCAAAGTTAAATGACTATAAGTCAGGCAAGTATATGTTAGCACATAAAATGTGAATCGAACAGACAGTACAATAACAGCAAAGCAATGTCATGTTGTCATTCAAATGTACTCAAATGGATGAGCAAGGAGAGTTAACTGCTTCGCACTTAGCAATGGGAATCATTTGGAAATATGGGCACGTATGCAGCCAACAGATGATTCTAAAGATAGTTTGAGAGCTGTACAGAGAGGAGAGAACAGTGTGAAGAGAAAATACAGAGATGGGGGGGAAGGGGAGAGGAGGGCATGAAGTAGGGGAGGGTGGTTTGCATGTCATCAGTGGTTGAAACAATAGGAGCCCGGGTTAGGTGATAACATTCGGGTGATGATACTGTATGTGATCCAGGGGTCCCAAATTTTGCAAAATTTAGCGTAGCTATTGGTGAGGATGCAGGAGAGCTATTTATTCATGAAAAAAAAACATATATTTGGGATTTGACTTCAGAGAAGTGGGCAAATTGTATTTTCCATGCCTTGGCTATAGTTAATTTAGTGGCTAAAAGAAAAAAGTGGATGAGTTTAAACTGATTCTTGGTAACACCTGGAGGTTTGAAGTGTAAAAGTGCTAGAACTCTAGAAATGTGGATCCCAAACAATGTATACAGAAGGGAAAAACTTTAGACCAAAAACTTCCCAGCACTGGACAGGTCCACCATATATGGAGGACATCACCTACAGCCTGG